AAACTTCAGCTGGTAATGGCTGGTTGTTTCCTGCACATCTCAAAATCCAGAATGGAGAAGTAGACTCCATTGTGAGTCTGTTTCCTGACTTGGAAGGAAAGAAAATATTTTCATGATGACTATTCTTTTCTCAGGCTGGTGTTACATTTGGCCCAAAGGCACAATGGGCAAGCAAGGGGGCTTCCATTCCCAGAACACTTTCTACCGCTTTGTTCCCAGTTAATTATGTTCTAATGGTGTTATGTGTAACCTCATTGGGTAGTTTTTAAATGAATTTTTATGTAAATGTTAATAGCTGTAAATTAGGCAAGTTTCAGCAGTAATTGCCTGCCCATCCACATGCACCATATGCCATCAGCTATGATTCTCCTTGATGGCTGCTGTTCTTGACTGTGACTTACTATTCTTAGTCCAAAATGGGATTCAAAGCTATTAATAACCCTATGAAAATCCAACTGGTTTTCCTATAACGTTCGGAAAGACTTTCTTTTGTAATACGGAGCTTGGCCTCTACCTTGAGGAGGAAAACCACGAAAGACTGAGCAATCATCGAACTGTCAAAAGAAGACTGGTAGTTTCTCTCCAAAATAAGTGATTGTTTGGATTAGCTGAGAGCTTAAAGCAAAACTCCCAAGGAAAACCTCTCAGGAGGGGAGATTATAAGCAGAGCTCCTGTGTATTTGGTATTGCTTTGGCAAGTAAGCCTTGGGAAGGCTACGTTGGCCTCATCACAACAGCAGAAGGGTACAGGAAAAAGAGACCTGGTTTCCCAGTCTCCTCTCCCAAATCTGGACCAGAAATGCTGACACACCTTCCACAGCTCCAACAAAAGGCAGCCACGGCATTTCTAGAGGAGGCAAAGCCACTGTGTTCCCGCTCCACTTCTTGTGTTTGCATTTGCCACCATTTCTAAGGCTCCCTTTCTGTGCTTGGTTGATTGCCCTTCTCAAGCCACCAGCTCAGGAGGTGGTGTGGTACAAGGGACAAGACTTGGCTGGAGGAATCAAAAGGCCTCCGTCTTTTGACTCCGCTCTGGTCCTTAGCCTCTCTAAGCTCCCTTTCCCATGGTTTCTTTCTCTTCTAAAACTCTAGTGGCATTTTCTGAATTCCCAATATTTGTATGGTACACACATTCCAAGCTACACACTTCAAATATGAACCTCAGATGCCTGAATATCACAGGCCTTGCCGAAGGTGGTTGCAGTTGCTAGCAACCTACCACAAAATCCACTGCCAGGACCAATCTGTGGTTTGCTGTGTGAGGGGCTTTATAATCCTCTGCTGAGACCAGAGCTGACTTTTTACTACAAGATGTCGAGAACAGTGGTACTTTCTAATGGTTATTGCTGGGGGAAAATCTCAGATTTATTGTTTTGAAAAACTGCTACTCATTATAGTCACAAATCCACACTGGCACTTCTATTTTCACTGGTATCCTTCCCTACTCTCCAGGAAGAAAAAGTCTGTACAACAGGAACTCATGTGTACAAAACTCTGGTGTCTCTGCTTCATAATAGCTTTGGCAAAAGAAGAGTGTTTTCTTTACTAGCTGACTCATTAACAGAAAGACCGTAAAAGTTTGTTTAATTAGAACAAGAGGGGAGGCAGTCAGAAGGTCACTGCTGGCTCATCACTTCCCATACCCAGAGGCTGCCAGAGCCAAATCCAGTTACGGTTGTGACCAAATCCTGTGTATTAGCACACCCGCTCTCTAGCTGCACACAAAAACCGAATCAGCACCCTTTCTCTAGGCTCTTTCTGGGGAGAAGAAACAACATTTTGAGGTTAGATGGCTGGGTGAAGAGTCAGGAACCCTCATATTAACTTCAGGAGAAAACTTAGGTTAGTAATTCTCAATCTTGGGTGATTTTGCACCCACAGAACATCTGGCAATGTTTGGGGACATTTTTGGTTGTACAACTTGGGGAGGAAAGAGGCATGACTGGCATTGAGTGGGTAGAGGCCATGGATGCTGCTAAATATCCTGTAATGCACAGGACAGTTCTCCACAACAAAGGACTATCTCGCCCAAATGTCAGGGGTACAGAGGGTAAAAAGCCTGGCCCTGGGTAAGATGGCATTCCCTCTATCCAGTGGGAGCAACTGCAGATCTGCCGCCAGGACAGCAGTCTCCTTGACACAGCAGTCTTAGCTCTCGGGTCGAAAACAACTAGATTTAAGGTCAGGTCCGTCAGCAAACAGACCCTGTGAGTCCCAAACTTCTGGCTGTTCTTAGGGAAGATGGAGACTGGCTTGGTCCCTGAGAAAAGGGAAAGTCTCTGGGCTGAATTAATTACTTAATTACTTAATTAATTTTAATATTAAGTTTATTGGGGTTCTGGGCTGGATTTAAAGACTTTACTGTGTGACACTCAACATTTTTACCATTCAGTAAAAACCCTTTCACATTGTACCCTGTGAGAGTATAAAATGCTGGTGGCACTAGATAGCCAGTTTTCCCTGCATGCACATGTTCTCCTCTCTCTTTTAATAGCAGTTCCTTTGTTGAGGATTCCACCTCTGAGCAGCCCTCAAGGGGCCTGGGAACAGCCTGGCTATGATTCCTGCATACTAGCGTGGTGACTCCATTTTTTCTCCAGCAAAAATGGTGCTGGTCCGCATCATGTAGATGAGAAACAAACACTAATGGAACTGTTCGAAGATGGAAAGAAATTTTAGAGAAAATACATGTATAGGACAAAACAGGGGCAATTCCCACAGTCTTTAGGGGAGTGCAAGGTCCCAGAGCACATGAGCACATGAGGGAAGCCTGGGAGGGGGTCATGACTTCATCGGCAGCTCAGTTTTAAAAGCTTCCAAACAGAAACTAAGCAACAAGCTTTGGAAGTGCCTTAGCTAGTAAACTAAGTAGAACTCCTAAAGGTGGCCTGATGAGCGGAAAATGATCGCTATCCTAATACTGACTAACCCTACTCCTCTTTCCTGCCATTCCACTGTAAATAAGTTAATCACTGCAAGAAAAGCTTACACAAGATTGATTTCCTAAGGAGGCAAAGAAAAGAGAATGATTTGGTGGATAATTTGATAGTTGAGTAGACTGAGCAACAGATTTAATTATGAGGACATTTTAAGAATCTCTAGTAAGAAACAGTTTTCTCCTTATCCCCAGATTAAAGCAGCCTGAAGACTTTTAGAGCTCTTATGGTAGGACAATGGGCTGTAA